CTTCAACAAGATGGATTGACACGGTGGCTGCGATGATGGGCTCAAGTATAGCAGGGATTGTGGGGCTGGCGCGGGATCGGGCAGTGTTTTGTTCTGCTGTGCATGGGGTTGCTATGAGTCGGAAATGACTCGACGGCACTTAACAACAACAGCAAACAGTCATATAGGCTGAGGATCTCATGGTCTACCAGTCCCTTGGACTAATTGTTTCCATGCATCTTTGGTTTTCTTCATTCTTGTTTTCTCTGGACGAGGAGAGACCCATCGTTGCATCTTGATGGCTGCTTACAAGCTTTTAAGACCCAGTTGCTACTCATCAAAGTAGGATGTGCAGCAGTGTTTTTGTGTAGTATGTTATGCCACTTGAGCATGATATCCCCTGTGACCATGGTCCCAAACCTGCAGGTCCAACTGCTCACTCAGAGTAGCTGGGTATGGACAAAAATCCACCACAGTCTTGCCCCTTGTCAGCTCTACTATATACCTGGACATTCTTACAGTGTATACAAATATGCATGTCCATTACTGAATAATTTGATCAAAGATTCTATGGAAGAATCATGAGCCAAAGGTGGGGGGAATGTGGAATAGAACTTCACATTTTCATGGAATTAAGACATTTAATATATATTTTATTGGATTTTTGGTGAAGGTTTACACAGCAGAGTAAGTTCCCAATTCAACAATTTCTACACAAGTTGTTCAGTGACATTGGTTACATTTTTCACAATGTATGAACAGTCCCATTTCTATTCTGGTTGTTCCATTTCTATTAATCTAGTTATCCTGTCCCCTTACAGCCTCTTTTTTGTTTTAAAGTATTGTTGATAGTGTGGCCCCATATAGTTGACTTTTAAAAGAAGCATAGTACTTATGGGTAATACTCATTATTTTTTTGAACCAATTTGTTATTCACCTACAGGATGAACTCAGGGGTTAGTTTCAGTTCAAGTTTTGAAGAGTGTCTCAGGGAGTCCTATATCTCAACCAGTCCAGTAAGTTTTTTTTAAAGGAATTTGAGTTTCTGTTCCGTATTTTTCTCCCATTCTATTAGGCTTAATCTATTGTTGCCCTGATCAGAATGGTTGGTAGTGGTAGCCAGGCACCACCATCTAGTTCTTCTCAGGGTAGATGAGGCTGTGGTTCATTATGGTATTAGTCCTATAGACTAGTTTATTCTTTGAATCTTTGGTTTCTTTCTTTCTCTTTTGCCCCGTGTGATGGTTAAAGTAGTGTGGCAGCTTGTCTGGGCTATGGGTTGGCACCTGCATGTGCTTATTTCACATGATGGGATTGGGTGTGGTGTAATCAACTCCATGGTGGAACCTGCCATGAGCAGCTAATTAGTGGCCTTTGGGGTGTGGCTGCTTCCTGTATTTATGGAGAAACTTTGAGAAAGGTCACTAGCTTTTTGGCACATTTTGGGTTATGTTGCCTGCCAATCTTGGGATCATTCCTGGACTTGAACCAGTGATCTGCCATGTTGCCTACTGATCTTAAATTTGCCAGCCTCAGCAGCCAGCAGCTACATGAGTCAGAAGAAGCCTCTTAGCTTGCTGCAGTGGGCCTGGAACAAGAGGCAGAGCTGAAGCCCAGGGTCCAGTGTTCCTAGAGCTGACACTCTGAATTAGGACTTCTAGCCTCCTAAGGTGTAAGAGAATAAATTCCTATTTGTTAGGTCGTTCATTTGTGGTTATTTCTGTTATAGCAGCACTAGAGAACCAAGACACTCTGGATGAGTAGAAACCAATAGTTGTATCTTACACTCACAAACTTTTAAAGACCCCAGACTCTACTCACCAAACTAAGATGTAGAAGACATAATATTTTAACAAATTACATCAACAAACTACAGCCTATATGCTGGGTAATTTGAGTGTCCACCAACATTGGAATAGGCTTGGACATGCTTTACCAAAAAGAAAAACCAAACCAAACTCACTGCTGTTGAGTCAGTTCTGACTCATAGCAACCCCTCCTTGGGTTTCTGAGGCAGTATATCTATGGAAGTAGATTGCCCAACCTTCCTTCCAAGGAGTGGCTAGTGGGTTTGAATCACCAGCCTTCTGATTAGCAGTCAAATGCCTTAGGCACTATGCCATCAGAACTCCTGGACATGCTTTAAAGGATATTTTTCTTTCTTTCTTTTTTCTTTTTATTACCTTGATCCAGAGTAAGAAATAAATTTCACATTGTGACAACCCTACCTCCACAGTCACTCACAGAAATTTCTGGATTGAAATAAAAGTTTCACAATACATGGCTTACCTTCACCCTGATATTTTCTATTCTGGTCTCATCTATTTGGTTTCATTAAACAAATGTTTCAGATTCAAACCTGCAGTATGAAAAATGTTGGCACTCTCACATCATCCTGCCTCATTTTCCCCATTGTCTTTGTGCTACCTGCTCATTCTTTCTTAGGATTTGTTTGCCTGTGTATTGATCATCTTGCCAGCCAGGTATAACCCCTGTGAGAGCAGGGACCTCAATCTGTTGTCATCTTAGCTCTGAGAACAATGCTTAGTGTGTAGTAAGAAACCCAAACCAAACCCATTGCCTTGGAGTTGGAATTAACTTCATAGACTTTCTGGAATCAGGCTTCGTAGGCTTTCTTGCCTGTAAACTTTATGGAAGCAGATCACCAGGCCTTTCTTCCATGGCACTGCTGGGTAGGTTCAATCCACCAAACTTTTGGTTAATAGTTGAGTACAAATCGTTTGTGCCCCCCAGGGACCTAGCCTGGTATGTGGCAAGTCTCCATAAATGACTGTTGAGTGGGTAAATGAGTAGAGCTGGAATTGAGGGTGGTGGGCCCTCCACAGCCGGCTGCTCTAATTGGCTTGTTTTTCCTCCTCTTTCCAGCTCGCTCCAGCCCCTAACCTTGCCCAGGATACACAGCTGTCTGTGACACAATGAGCCTACTGTTCCTGGTCCTGCTGTTGCTGCTGCCCTGCACCTCTGGACTGCCTTTCTACAATGGCTTCTACTACTCCAACAGCCCTGATGGGTGGGGCCTGGGTCATGGCCATGGTGAAGGTGGGAATCCTCCTTAGCTAACTCTTTGCTCTGCAGGGTCACCAAGGCCCTCCCTGTCTTCTGCTGTGATAAGCAGGGTTGAGGTTGGGTGGGGCCAGGGTGCGAAGTCAGCAGCCCTTTACCATTGCAGTGGATCAGCTTCGTTCTAAGACCAGAGGAAGGGATGCTTTAGTTATTCTCTATCTGCTAGCCCCTCAGACCCAGAGAATAGCTCTGATAGCATAGTGGTTAAAACATTTGGTTGCTAACCAAAAGGTCAGCATTTCCAACCCACCAGCCACTCTTCAGGAGAAAGATGCAGCAGTCTGCTTCCAGATTTTCAGTCTTGGAAACCCTTGGGGCAGTTCTCCTCTGTCCTATTGGGTTGCTATGAATTGCAGTCAACTCAACGGCAGTGAGTTTTTTCGTTTTGTTTTGTTTTTTTCAGACTTAGAGCTGAATTTATTTAAGGACAATTGCTTGTGCTTTGTTTCATTTTTTAAAATTTATTTTTATTGCGATAGGTGAGAATTTACAGAGCAAATTTTTCATTCAACAATTCTTTTTTTTTTTTTTTTCCCAGTAATGTAGACGGTTTTATTATTATAAAGAAAAAAGGCTTGTCACATGAGCTAACCAAAAATCCAATGCCAACAAGTTGATTCCAATTCTATTGACCCTTTAGGACAGAGTGGAACTGCCCCACATAGGGTTTCTTTTTTTTTTTTATTGTGATTTGGGTGAAGGTTTACAGAGCAAATTCACTTTCCATACAGCGGTTCACATATACTTTGTCTCATGACATTGACCGAAGTTTACCACAATGCAACAGCTCCCCTCCCACTTCCTTCCCATAGTTACCTCTTCCCTGTGTCCATCCCTCCATGCACTTCACTCAACAATTCTTACACATTTTGATTCACAACATTGTTGCCATACTTACAATGTAACAGATCTCTTCCCACTTCCTCCTTGTGTTTCCCATTTCCCTTTGTCCTTCTTCACTTGTGCTTTCTATATTTTTTCAAAGTCCTGCCAGTTTTTCAGGATTTAAGTGTGACCTCTTTTCATCTTCCTAGTAGAAAGGGGGCTTAAGGTCTGTATTAGGGTTCTTCAGAGAAGCAAAACCAATATAGGTGGTAGGTATAAATAAATATATACATATATACGTGTCTCTGTATATGTGTATGTGTGTATATTATACAAAGAGATTTATTATAAGGAATTGGCTTGCATGGTTGTGGGGGCTAGCAAATTGGAAATCTGTAGGGCAGACTGGCAGCTGGAAGCTCAGCAGGAGTGGATGCTGCAGTCTTAAAGCAGAATTTCTTCTTCATGGAAACTTCAGTTTTGCTCTTATGGCCTTTTGACTAATTGGATGAGGTGCACCCACATGATCGAGGGTAATCTCCTTTATGTAAAGACAACTGATTGTCGAGTTCATCATGTCTGCAAAATACTTTCACACCAATACCTAGATTAGTGTTAGGAATAACTAGGTTTTATAACTGAGCTGTCTTAGTTACCTGGTGCTACTGTCACAACAAACATACGCCACAAATGGATGGCTTTATTTATTTACTTATTACTGGGAACTCTGGTAGCATAGTGCCTAAGGCACTTGACTGCTAACCAGAAGGCTGGTGGTTCAAACCCACCAGCCACTCCTCAGGAGGACGGTTGGGCAATCTGTTTCCATGGTGATATCGCCTTGGAAACCCAAAGTGGGGTCGCTATGAGTCGAATCCGACTCAACGGCAGTGAGTTTGGTGTTTTTTTTTTGTTTTTTTTTTATTGTGATTTGGGTGAAAGTCTGCAGAACAAATTTGTTTTCCATACAGCAGTTCACATACATTTTGTTTCATGACATTGACTACAATTTCCCACAATGCAACAGCTCCTCTCCCACTTCCTCCCCATAGTTAGCTCTTCTCTGTATCCTTCCCTCCCATACACTTCTGCCCCCTGAGCTGTCTCCCTGTGCATACACAGCCCTTCTGTTCTCCCATGATTGTTCTCTGCAGGGAATTTATCTACCTAATGTAAATGATAAACTCATATGCCTATCTTTTGTTGGGCTGGAAGCCATAGGAGTGTGTTCAGTTCAAGACCAGAAGGGCCAACTAGGAGCCATAGTCTCAGTGGTTCCATCAGGCTCGGTCAGACTAGCAAACCTGGTGTTTTTTTTTTTTTTAAATAATTTTGAATTTTATTCCACATTTTTCTCCCACTCTATCCAGGATTTCCCACATAGATCCCCCTTGGAGTGGTTGACAGTGGTAGCAAGGCACCATCTAGTTCTTCTGGTCTCATAGTTGTGTAGGCTGAGGATCACATGGTGTACCACTCTCTTGGGCTAATCGATTCCATGCATCTTTGATTTACTGCTCTGGATGAGGAGAGATCCATTGTTGCATCTAGATGGCTGCTTGCAAGCTTTTAAGATCCCAGTTGCTACTCATCAAAGTAGGATATGGAACAATATTTTTGTGTAGTATGTTATGCCAATTGAGCTTGATGGGGAGACTATACTTTGAGGAGGCAGCTCTTCCCTAGTTGTATTTTGAGTGCCTTTCAACCTGTGGGGCTCATCTTCCAGCACTACATTGGACAATGTTTTAAGGCTAGTCATAAGGTTTTCCAGTAATATATTAGACAGTGTTCCACTGTTATTCACAAGGTTTCACTGGCCAATTTTTTCAGAACTGGAGGAGGCCCCGTCCTTTTTCTTAGTCTGTCTTAGTTTGGAAGCTCCGCTGAAACCTGTCCACCATTGGTGACCCTTCTGGTATTTGAAATACCAGTGGCATAGCCTCTAGCCTCACAGCAACATGTAAGGTACCACAGTATGACAGACTGACAGACGAGTGGTAGGTTGTATCCTTTCACCATACTTATTCAATCTGTATGCTGAGCAAATAGTCTGAGAAGCTGGACTATATGAAGAAGAATGTGTTATCAGGATTGGAGGAAGACTCATTAACAACCTGAGATATGCAGATGACACAACCTTGCTTACTGAAAGTGAAGATGACTTGAAGCACTTACTGATGAAAATCAAAGACTATAGTCTTCAGGATGGATTTTGCCTCAACATAAAGAAAACAAAGTTCCTCAGAACTGGACTGATAAGCAACATCATGATAAATGGAGGAAAGATTGAAGGTATCAGGGATTTCATTTTACTTGGATCCATAATCAACACTCATGGAAGCAGCAGTCAGGAAATTAGATATTGTATTGCATCTCGTTGAGGGCCTTCCCTTTTTCACTGACCCTCCACTTTACCGAGCATGATATCCTTCTCTAGGGAATGGTCCCTCCTGACAACATGACCAAAGTAGATGAGACAAAGTCTGGCCATTCTTGCTTCCAAGGAGCATCCCAGCTGCACTTGCTCCAGGACAGATTTATTAGTTCTTCTAGCAGTCCATGGTACTTTCAGTATTCTTCTCCAACACCACAACTGGAAAGCATCAGCTCTTCGGTCTTTCTTATTCATTGTCCAGCTATCACATGCATATGAGGTGACTGAAAACACCATGGCTTGGGTTAGATACACCTTAGTCTTCAAAGAGACATTTTTGCTCTTCAGCACTTTAAAGGTCTTTTGCAGCAGATTTGCCCAGTGCAATATGTCAGTCTGATTTCTTGACTGCTGCTTCCATTAGTGTTGATTGTGGAACCAAGTAATATGAAATCTTTGACAACTGCAATCTTTTCTCCATTTCTTGTGATGCTGCTTACAGGTACCGTAGGTATCTACAAGTAAGGAAACTGAGGACTGATTAGATTTCAAAGCTCTGAAATTGTGGTGCCAACCTAGACCACCTGACTCCAGGGTTTATGATCTTAAAACTCTGCAGTACTGACTCTCTAGAGGAGGAATTCTCTAACTGCAGTGAGCATCAGGGTCACGTGGAAGCGTTATTAGAGCACAAAGTGCTGAGTGTCACCCCAGGGTTTCAATTCAGTGGGTCTAGGGTGGTGCCTAAGAATTTACATTTCTATCAGTTCCCAAGGAGCTCTGGTGGCTTAATAGTTAAAGCATTTGTCTGCTAACCAAAAGGTCAGTGGTTTGAACTCACCAGCTGCTCTGTGGAAGAAAGGTGAGGCAGTCTGCCTCTGTAAAGATTACAGCTTTGGAAACCCTATTGGGCCAATTCTACTCTGCCCTAAAGGTTGGAATCGACTCTAAGGCAGTGAGTGGGAATCAGTTCCCAGTGATACTGAAGCTGCTGGTCCAGGGGCCACACTTTGAGAACTACTACCCTAGAGAACCTGGACCATTAAGTATAGCTCTTTTCAGCATGAGATCCTCTACAGAAAGCCTCTCTGTCTACCTCCTGGCTTACCCCCAAGACTGCCTCCCCTTGCATACTTGATGCTTGTCTTGAAGTCTAGACTCAAGAGAAAGAGACAGTGAGATGCCTTTAAAAAAAAAAAAAAATCTGGAAGCCAAAAAGCCCAGTTGCCGTGGAACTAATTCCAACTCATGGCAAACCCCACATGTTTCAGAGTAGAACGGACTCCATGGGGTTTTCAATGGCTGTATATTTATGGATGTAGATCACCAGGTCTTTTTTCTACAGCACCACTGGGTGGATTTCAACTGCCAACCTTTTGGTTAATAGCCAAGCACAAACCCTTTATGCTACCTGGGAGCGAGGCCCCTACCTGCTGCCATCTAGTCAATTCTGACTAGAATTCTGACTCATAGCAACCCTATAGGACAGAGTTGAACTGCCCCATAAGGTTTCCAAGGCTGTAATCTTTACAGGAGCAGATTGTCTTTTTCCTATGGAGTGGCTGGTGGGTTTGAACTGCTGATTTTTTGTTTAGCTTCCAAGTGCTTAATCACTTTGCCACCAGGGCTCCTTGTGAGACACTCCTCAAACCAATAACCAAACTCATTGCCACTGAGTCGATTCCAACTCATAATGATCCTCATTGGATTTCCAAGGCTGTAAATCTTTCCGGAGGCTGACTGCCTCATTTTTCTTCCACAAAGAAGTTGGTAGATTCAAACCACTGACGTTTTTGGTTAACAGCCAAATGCCTTAACCACTACACCACCAGAGCTCCTTGAGTCATCCCCACCCCCACCCCCTGAGAGGGTTAAAGATGAGTCCTTAAACTTGGTTCTTTTGTTGCATCTTAGCTCTGTGTTTGTTACCTCTGAGCCCTTAGTATAATTTTCTCTACAAGTTCTGGGCTCCTCACCAGTGCTATTAGGTGTTTGGGAAGAGTCATGGTGGGTAGTTGGACCAGAGTGTGAAGGGAAGGTTATGCTTCTCTGGATCAGTTTGGTAGGGAAGGAGACTCTGGGGGCATTGAGGCATGGCTGCTAATCCACCCACCTCATGTGGAGTTGCTCATGTTGTTGCCGGATACCTCAGTTAGCCTCTTAGATTAATTATTCCTTCAACTGAAGTAAAATTCACATAACATAAAATTAGCCACTTATGGCCAACAAACACATGAAGAAATGGCTTGTGATCGTTAGCCGTTAGAAAGATGCAAATCAAAACAGTAATGAGATACCATCTCACCCCAGCACTAACAGCAGAGTTCAAGACAGAAAATAACAAATTTAAAAATGCTGGTGAGGATGTGGAAAGATTGGGATTCTCATACACTGCTGGTGGGACTATAAAATGATACAACCACTGTGGAAATCGGTATGGCAATTCCTTAAAAAGTTGGAAATAGAAATACCATTTGATCCAGCAATCTCGTCACTAGGTACATATCCTAAAGAAGTGAGAGCCAGGATACGAACAGACATATGCACACCCATGTTCACTGCAGCACTATTCACAATAGCAAAGAGATGGAAGCAACCTAAGTGTCCATCAGCAGAAGAATGGATAACCAAACTGTGGTACATATACACAATGGAATGCTATGCAACATAAAGAATAATGTAGAATCTGCAAAAGACTGCATAATGTGGATGAACTTTGAGGACATTATGCTGAGTGAAAAAAGTCAATCACAGAAGGAAAATATCGTATTAGTCTACTGTTGTAAAAAGTAAAAGAAAGGTTTACAAATGGAAGGAAAGTTTATTTGTTGGTTACCAGGGATAGAAGAGGAGGGAAGGGAAAATTCCTAAAGAAAAAGGAAAAAAAATTAGCCATTTTATAGTACACAGTTCAGTGGCATTCAGTGCATTCATGTTATTATGCAATCACTGCCTCTGTCTAGTTACAAAACATTTTTGTCACCCCAAAAGCCCATATCCTTTAAGCAGTCATTTTCCATTTCTCCCTCCCCATGGCCCCTGACAACCACTAGCATACTCTCTGTCTCTATGGATTTACCTATTCTGTATATTTCATATAAATTGAATCATACAATATTTGGCCTTTTGTGGCTGGCTTATTTCACTTAGCATAATGTTTTCAAGATTCATCCATGTTGTAGCATGTATCACTACTTCACTCTTGTTTATGACTGAATAATATTACATTGTATGAATAGATTGTATTTTATTTGTTCATCTGTTGTTGGGCATTTGGGTTGTTTCCAACTTTTTGCTATTGTGAATCATGCTGCTATGAACATTGGTAATATGTTTTTGTTTGAATCCCTACTTTCAAGTCTTTTGAATATATACTTAGGAGTAGAATTTCTGGGTCATTTGGTAATTGTATGGTTAACTTTTTTGGAAACTGCCAAACTGTCATTCAGCTTTTGAGCATAGCAAACCACCCAAAATTAGTGGCTTAAGACAGCATTTATTTAGCTCATGATTCTCTGATCAGCATTTTGGGCTGGGCTCAGCTGGGTGACTTTTCTGATCTTGGTTGTGCTCATTCATGCACCTACGGTCAGTTGGCAGCTCAAGTAGGGGATGGCTGGTCTAGGTTGGCTTCAGCTGGGGTGGCTGTCTGTGCTCCATGTGGTCTCTCATCCTCCAGCAGGCTGGCCCAGGCTTGTTCTCATGATGGCTGGCAAGCTTCCAAGAGAAAGAGTGAAAGTGACAAAGCCTCTTGAGGCCTAGGCTCAGAAAAGACACAGTCTGATACATTCGAATGATCAAAGGATGTGGCAAGGCTAGTACAGATTTATGAGGGAGGGGAAATAAATTCTACCTCTTGGTGGGGCTCATGGTAGTTAAGGTTTTATGTCAACTTGGCTGGGCCTGGTTTTGAATGGGTGGGCAGTTGGATGTAGTGATTCCCCATGATGAGACTGGCAATCAACTCCAAGGTGGAATCTCCCACAAGCATCTGAGTAGCTGCTTTAGGGATGTGGTCTGCTTCCCATATATAAGGAGAAGATTTGAGAATGGTTTATAGCTTTTTGGCATGCTTGAACCCTGCATGTAGCCAAGTCACTGTTCAGCAGTTTGCCATGTCCTGCCAATCTTGGGACTTTTTCTGGACTTGAATTAGTGGCCTGTGTGTTGTTTGATAATATTGGGACTGTGTGCCATTTTGTTTGTCAACTTTGGGCTTATCAGCCTCAGTAGCCAGCAGCTGCCTGAGTGAAGGACACCTCTAGCTCCAGTGGGCCAGGAGCAAGAGGGATTGCTGACGCTCGAGGTCAAGGGGCTTTCACCCAGCTCCTAGAGCCTGGCACTTTGAATGTAGACTTCTAGCTTCCATAAACTGTAAGAATAAACTCCTGTTTGTTAAAAGCTATCCCATTTGTGGTATATTCCTCTGAGAGTGGCACAAAGTGACCAAAACAGAGGTGCTACAAAGTCATATTGCAGAGGGAGTGGATACTGGGAGGGATGGAGAAATATGTCCGTTTTTGTAATCTACCACCCCTGAGCCTAGAGAGAGCTGGGAATGATGGTGGGGGTACAGATGTGCTACAGCTGTTCCCCATCTGCACCCAACCTCTTTCCCCAGGCCTCTTCAATGGAGTAAAGCTGGTGGTAGAGACACCCGAGGAGACCCTGTTTACCTACCGAGGGGCCAATGTGACCCTGCCCTGTCACTACCATTATGAGCCAGCCCTGGCCTCCCCGAGACCCATACGTATCAAATGGTGGAAGCTGTCAGATAATGGAGCTCCAGAGCAGGATGTGCTGGTGGCCATCGGGCCAAGACACCGCTCCTTCGGGGTCTACCAAGGCCGAGTGCACCTGCGTCAGGGCAGGGAGCGTGAAGTCTCACTGGAGATCAGAGACCTGCGGCTGGAGGACTATGGGCGCTACCGCTGCGAGGTCATTGATGGGCTAGAGGATGAAAGTGGCCTGGTGGAGCTGGAGCTGCGAGGTGAGACCCTGACTGGAGTTAGGTGATGCTGGAAACTGGGGGTGGGGGTGGAGGACCCTGAGAAAGCATCTAGACCTTTGAGCTTTAGACAGGTTCACACATCTTTTGATCTCCAAACAACTCTATGGAGAAAGCTACTATTAACACTCTCATTTTACAGATGAGGAAACCAAGGCAAAAGAAGGTAAAGGAACTTAGCTAAGGTCACACAGCTTATAAATGGTAGAGCTGGGGTTTGAACTAGGCTGGCTTAAGAATATGCTATACTCTACTCCCCTCTCTAATCACATCCCATTCAGAGAGAGGGCAAAGGGAGCTGGTCTCACAGGTAATTGGAGATAGGGCAGATATTCATGTAGATTTTGCAGGCAACACAAGGGAATGAGGCAGACCGAATGTGAGGTTATAGGGAGTGGTGAGGACTGGGGCACACTGCAGAGCCCACACTCCATCCAGAGGCAACAGCTCTACTTAGGCCTAGCTGATGATGTTGCACCAGAATGCAGGTCCAGTGCTGCCAGATTTTCTGATTTGACTAGAGAAGCTTTTATTTTTTATATGAAACCTCTGGATATTTGTGTAAAAATCTCCTATGTTTTAAAAAACATGGTACTGTCCAAACCAGCCAGACCCAGCAGGCCAGATATTATCTGTGGGCTCCAGTTTGAGGTCTCTAAGTTACTTTTACCTTCTCTGCCTCTAGGTGGGGCTGTGTGTATGCTTGTCTTTCCTACCTGTTTGAGAGACAGCTGGGGTGAGGGACCAGGCTGTAGTCTGGTGACCTGGGATTGAATCCATCTTTACCCATCCTAAAGGAGCTCTGATGGCATAGTGCCTAAGGCGTTGGACTGCTAACCAGAAGGTTGGCAGTTCAACCCACCAGCCCCTCTGTGGAAGGAAGACTGGGCAGTCTACTTCCATAAAGATTTACTGCTTCAGAAACCCAAAGGGGGTCACTATGAGTCAGAACTGACTCACTGGCAGTGAGGTTTTTTTTTTTTTAATTTTTGGTTTTACCCATCCTATCTGTGGCTCCTGGGCAAATGCCTCATCCTGTCTGAGCATCCTGTCTGAGAACAGACTCAGTGTAAAATGGAACTAATAGTAGCTTCTCTTTATTTCTTCAGAGATGAGCATAAGCCTTGCCTCCAGTGCCTCGCTCAATAAATAGCAGAGCTCAAACCTTGGTGTTATATAAAGTTTATTTGCTAATTTTAGTAGAATCTCAACCATGAACAGTGAATTTTGAGGGGAGCCTGTGGCCTCTAGTACATCCTGGCCACCAGGAGGGGAGTCCTCTGCCCCAGGACCTCTGTGAGCTCGGGTTCCTTTTACATAAGGGCCCTTTACCAGCCCTCCTCTTCTCACAGCTTCTAGGCCCTCTCCTTCTCCTGAAAAATTGTCTGTCACATATGGAAGTTTCTTGCAGACCCTTAAGAAGATTTCACCCTAATTATAATATTAATGGGAGCTCTGGTAGCATAGTGCCTAAGGCACTTGATTGCTAACCAGAAGGCTGGTGGTTCAAACCCACCAGCAACTCCTCGGAAGGAAGGTTGGGCAATCTACTTCCGTAGTGATACCGCCTCGGAAACCCAAGGAGGGGTCGCTATGATTCAGGTCCAACTTGACAGCTCATAACAACAACAATAATGTTAATGATCAGGTCTCAGCTATTGAGAAGGGTTTGGTGGAAGCCAAACCCAGCTCCTGCAAATGGCAGCACCTCCTCACTGGGTTCTTGCCATAGCCCTGTGAATTAGGCCATGTTCCAATTCTGTAGTTGGGACATTGGCAAGCTGATGAACTAATTACCTTAAAAACTGAATAAATGTTTCTGAGTATGTGCCAGCCTACTTCATGGAAACCAGGCATGGGCTCTGCCTCAGATTTGGGGAACTCTGAGAATGGACAGGAAATTGCAGTTTTGCTAAGGAGTGTTGTGAACGTGTGTGTGCTTGTGCTTGTGTGTGTGTATGTGTGTGTGTATGTATGAGAGAGATGAAAGAGCACATATCCCAGTGGCGGTGGGAGGACACTGGGGTCTCCTACCTGCTCAGTCCCTGTCCACCCCTCATGCTCTTTCTTCTCTCCTCAGGTGTGGTGTTTCCCTACCAGCCTCCTCAGGGGCGCTACCAACTCAACTTCCATGAGGCCCAGCAGGCCTGTGAGGAGCAAGATGCGGTCCTGGCCTCCTTTGAGCAGCTTTTCCGGGCCTGGGAGGAGGGCCTAGACTGGTGCAACGCAGGCTGGCTGCAGGACGGCTCAGTGCAATATCCCATCACGCTGCCTCGGCAGCCCTGTGGTGGCCTGGGCTTGGCACCTGGTGTGCGCAGCTATGGCCTGCAGCACCGCCGCCTGCACCGCTATGACGCGTTCTGCTTCGCTGCTGCCCTAAAGGGTGAGTGGAGTGGCTGAGCACAGACAGACCTAGGATCTGGTACTGGTCTGGGTCCCAAAGGAGGGCAGCATCTGGGCAGTGTCAGACCATCAGCCTGCCCTGCTGGCCCCTTACCTGGAGGCCTAGAGCACCAGGCAGGTCTTGAACTGATGTTTGTCTGAGCTTGGAGTATTTCCCTGCTGATGCTTCATGCTGATCATTGGCTTCTTCATCCATCAAACGTTTCCTGAGTGCCTACTGTGTGCTGGGGCCTAGATTAGGATATGGGGCATTGTAGACAAATAAAACATTGTCCTCAAAAAGCGACTCGCTTCAGGGGAAGATTGTTGTTGTTATGTGCCATCGAGTCAGACCTGACTCATAGCGACCCCTCATTGGGTTTCCGAGGCGGTATCACTACGGAAGTAGATTGCCCAACCTTCCTTCCGAGGAGTGGCTGGTGGGTATGAACCGCCAGCCTTCTGGTTAGCAGTCAAGTGCCTTAGGCACTACGCTACCAGAGCTCAGGGGAAGATAGGCAAGTAAAAAAGAAAGAAAGAAAGAAAGAAACCGAGTCAGCACCATATCCTAAGCATTTTGAAAAGTGCCTGGCTCATAGTAGTTAATAGTTGCTCTTGAGTTAATTCCAACTCATGGCAACCTTGTGTGCAGAATAGAGCTGTGCCATAGGGTTTTTAAAACTATGACTTTTCGGAAGCAGATCCTCAGGCCTGAGATGCCTCAAGATGTGTTCAAACCACCAACCTCTTGATTAGTAGCTGAGTATTTAACTGTTTATACCTCCCAGGGACTCCATAAGTTATTGATGAGCGAGATTCTGATTAGTCTAGCCTGGTTGGGTGGGCATTCACCCATGGTGCAGTTATGGAAGGGTGATGGGGAGTACAGACATAACTGAGGGACCCCACCCTGTGCCAGGTGGGGAGGGGAATCTAAGAAAAGGGTAATGCCTGGAAAGGCACCCCAAAAGCATCCACTGCACATACATCCCCCCACAGCATGGTGGCTTCCTGGGCTCACACAGTTGTTAGGTTGCTGGGGGCTGGTGGAGGGGCTAGCATTGCTACCACTCCACTGGGCCTTCTGGCCACCCAGCACTCATGCCCCCCTTTCCCCTCAGGGCAAGTGTACTACTTGGAGCACCCTGAGAAGCTGACACTGACAGAGGCAAAGGCAGCCTGCCAGGAGGATGGTGCCCAGATCGCCAAGGTGGGCCAGCTCTTCGCTGCCTGGAAGTTCTGGGGCCTGGACCGCTGTGACGCTGGCTGGCTGGCAGATGGCAGCATCCGCTACCCAGTGGCTCAGCCCCGTCTCAACTGCGGACCCCCTGAACCTGGTGTCCGAAGCTTTGGCTTCCCACACCCACAGAGCCACAAGTTTGGGGTCTACTGCTACCGTCAACGCTAGAACCCCAGGCAGCCGGCCCTGCACCTCCCCGTTCTCTCACTGGCTGAGTATTTATTGAGTGCTTCATTCTCCCTGGAGGGTTAAGGCAATTTTAGTATTGTTTTTATACTTTGCAACTTAAAAAATTGTGAAGTATTACTATTTTTTGTAAACCTGATAGAATCTAAACTCTCCTTTTGCTCATTGGACACTGTCAAGGCTCTCGACTTCCAGGAATCCTCCTGCCCCCTCCTCTAGGGCATTTGAAGTTTTGGAACTTTTAAAAAAGCTGCTGTCCTCATGGAGTCTGGCCCCCTCCCTGCCCTGGGGATGCTGTTGCCCAGAGGAGGCTGTGGCCTGTCCAAGGTGCCTCACTGAGTCAGGGCTGAGCTGCAGTAGACCTTGGCCTTTCCCTACACATTGTGGTTCCAGGCTCAGCCTGGGGGAAGGGACTTCGGGGCCATGGGGTCTGGAGTGGGCTTCCAGCCTTGCTGCTCCCTGCCCCTCCTATTCCTCTACTGAGCTGCTGGCCCCAAATCAGCCCCTCAGAGAAGCTGTGGCTGGAAGGGCATTCCTAGGCATCTGTTTGAAATCCAGACATTCCCCTCCCCATCTTCTCTCCTTTTTTGGTTCCAAAGAATTTGTGTTTTGTTCTTATTTTTCCCTATTTGGGGAGAGGCCCTCAGGTGTGTGTACTTTCTTTGGACAATAAATGGTGCTGTGACCCTTTCCTCCATTCCCAGCCTTCCTCTGTGTCTCCTTCAGTCTCTGGCCACAGCTTCCTCACTCAGTGGACACCCAACTTTTGCCTACTGCCATCAAGTTGGTTCTGACTCATACCGATCCCATAGGACAGAGTAGAATTGCCCCGTAGGGTTTCCAAGGCTGTAAATCTTTACAGAAGCAGACTGCTTCATCTTTCTCCCATGTAGCAGCTGGTGGGTTCAAACCACTGACATTTTGGTTAGTAGCCAGATGCTTTAACCACTACATCACTGAAGCTCATCCCAGTGGCAGGGTGGGGGCAGTTCTCCCCCAGGCCTCACAGGGCAGTTGGGCCAGGTTAGCTGGGATTTGGATTGAATTGTGTCCCTTCAAAATGTGTGTTGGGATCCTAACCCCTGTAGCAGTGGATGTGATCCTATTGGAGAATAGGGTTTTCTTATGTTAATGAGGAGCTTTGGTGTAGTAGTTAAGACATTTGTCTGCTAACCAAAAGGTCTGGGCAGTTCGATCCACTAGATGCTCTGTGGAGAAAAGATGAGGCAATATGTTTTCATAAAGATTGGAAATCTGATTGTACAGTTATACTCTGTCCTAAAGGGTCGCTGTGAGTTGGAATCGACTCATTGGTAGTGTGTTTATGTTAATAAACATGTATGTGTTTAGGTCATATCCATGTAGGATGTATCTTAAATCTAATGGCTTTTGAGATATACAAAGAGCAGATTGGGTACCGAGAAGCAGTCCCTGGTGCAAACCATTAAGCCTTTGACTGCTAACTGAAAGGTTGATGGCTTAAACCCACCCAGAGGTGCCTCAGAAGACAGGCCTGGCTATCCGCTTCCAAAAGAGGTCATAGCCCTGAAAACACTACAGAGCACAGTTCTCTGCACACATGGGGTCATCATGAGTCAGAATCGACTTGATGACAACTAACAACAAGGCACAGAGATAAGGAAGCACAAACAGTGGAAAGATACACCACATGAAGATCACTAAGAAACCAAGGGATGGAAGCTGAAAAGAGGCAAGGACCTTCTCCCAGAGCCAACAGAGAGCCTTCCTCTAGAGCCAGTGCCCCGAGTTCAGACTTCTAGCCTCCTGAGAAAATAAATACCTATGGTATTTCTGTTAGAGCAGAAGGAAACTAAGACAGCCAAGGTGGGCAAGAAGTCTCTGGGTTGCCCCTTGAGGCTGATTTGGTTCTGGCTTGTCTGCCCTATGGCATGCCCTGTACAGGGTACTGGCCTAGCAGTTGAGGGCCCCCACTTGCAGCATCACCATCTCCATCCCCTGACTGTTTGTCTGTGGGAGTTCGTGCACAAGAATGGGAAGTGCCTCTCAGGAGGCTATGTCCCCTAGAAGATCTTGAAGGCCAGGGATCTTGGAGACCAGCCCTCTGTGTGCCCCATCCTCAGCCTCTACCTCAGCTTCAAGAAATCAGGGACTTCCAGTAAGATGGAGGAATAGGCAGACAAGTGACCCAGACCCTCTTCAACAAAGAAAAGAGAAACCAATTGACAGAGATACAGAAGATAATCCTGGAGCCCGGAGCTTTGAAAGGAACTATACAGAAATGGATTAGTAGAAAAAAACTGAACGAAAACAGTGAATACAGAGACGGTTGGAGCTGCGGACTGTCAGCTCCTTTGACGGAACCAACAGCCTGAATATTTCCAAGTGGTGTTGGGACCAGAGAATTGCCCTAAAGATCAGCCCTGGTCACCAAGGGCTGCAGGGATGACTGCTCTGGTGGCCTATGACTAGGAAGGGAAACAGCAGGGAGGGAGACAGCCTGAGTTGTGGACTTTCTGCTCTCTGGATAATGCAGGCATTTTGATTGTTTACATGCGGCAGCCATTTTGGATATTTAAAGTGACTGAGGGCACAGCCATTTTGAATGTTTATAAGCAGTGGCCATTTTGGATTTAAAAGTGATAGCATTCTCATTTGGATTCCAGGGACCTAAGAACAGGCTCTGTTTGCCAAGGTTGGCAGGGACATATGAGAGGCTGACAACAGGAAAAGAGACAGGTGGTGAGTGTACAAGTACTGTTAACTAGTGAATAGAGGAGCACAGGACAGTACCCTGCTTACATAGATAACATACAAACAAAGCAAAGAAAATGAAAATCATGGGCAAGTCACTCCAACATACAATCACCAGTTAAATATAAACACAAAAACATCACAATGCCTCAGAGACAGCAGAGCATCACAGTTCACACAAAGAAGCAAGATAAAGCAGGAGAAACAAGGGACAAGGATACAGACCCAAAACACATCCCTGAGGAAGATGCAGCATTGGAACTCCCTGATAAGGAATTCAAAAGAATTATATTTAGGTATTTTCAACAAATTGAGATGCAGATCAAGGAAAACAT